CACACTCTGCATTAATCAAAACAGCTATCATTCCCATTTTACAGATGAGGAAACTGATGTTCTATTTGGAAACATTAAGTTCTGCTGAGGAACAGCCAACTAGTTCGTACAAGAGCTGAATTGTGTCCCAATCATGCCAGCGGCCAGAAGCCTGAACCTGACCTACCAGAAGAATGGACTGCAGGGGAGAGTCCAGAGTGAGGAAACCTGGAGTTACTGCAGGTCACCATGGCCATGAGGTGACAAGTCCTAAAGTCAATGACAGCAAAGGAAATGAAGAGAGGAAATCTGATTTGTTAAAACAAAGTAAAATTAGTTAACATCTTGGGGGTTAAGAGAGGAGAGGGTCCAGGAGCAGCCTGGTACCCGGAGGCTGCTAGAGCCCAGACTGTCTGCACACCAGTTGCGAAATACTGTTTTATCAACTATGAATCGGGTTGTAGGAGGAGCACTTCAGTAATGTAATGCTACTTTGACCTTTACCTTTTGAAAACAAACTGGAACAGTTTCGAGGGAAAAAATAAACAGTTTCAAGGGAAAAACAAACCTTCAAAGTAATTTTTTTTTAAAGGAACTTCTCTCTAGAAATTTATCCTAGGAAACCAGTCAAGAATCACTTCCCAAAGCGACTCGAGTCTTTCAATCTTCAATATCTAGACATTCTGTGTCTCCTGGTTGTGATGCTGCTTGAAGAAAACATCATTCCTACTAAAAACGTTTCCCCTGAATTTAATTAAGTCTTTAGACCTAATTTCCAATTTCCAGGAACATGAAAAACAAGTTAAATGGTAACAAGAAGAAAACAATCAGACAAATCCCAAAAATGGATCATTTTAAAGGACAACGGACCATCGCTGGTAATCAGTGTCGTGTAGGGTAGGAGGGGAAGGTCACAGGAACTCTTCTAGATTAAAACCTAACTATCAAGTGCAAATAAATGGGTCTGAGTGGGTCCTGGTTTGAACAAATCACGAGTAGAAGACATATGGGACAACTGGAGAAGTTTGACTATAGATTAGGTAGTAAATGAATTGAAGGAATTAATAGTTAATTTTACTAAGCATAGTGTAGGTGGTTAAGAGAAAAAAAAAATTTTCACCTCTAACTACGTGTTTCTGATTTGTTCTCTCTCAGTAAAGGAATAAAATGGCAAAATGTTAGTTTTCTACCTATGTAGTAAGTATATAGCTGTCCATTATATGATTTTGTCTATTTTTTTGTTTGAAATTTTTACATAATAAAAAAAGTGAAATAAAATATCATGATCCAAAGGAAGAATATTATTTTCTTGGTGTTACTGTTCTACCAACTAATCCAACAATTCCTCTTCTAATGGATGTGAGGCCTTGTTAATACACTGACACCTCACTTGCTAGTAGGTCTAGCAACTCCTTATTCTTCTAGCAGATGGGTCCACAGCATTCCTGAGGGGGAATCAAATCGGAGAAGACCACAGACCCTAAAGGGCATACAAATGAAGAACATTTTCAAAAATCTGTAACACAGGAGAAACAAAAGACATGTTACCATAGAAACTATTTGAGTGGCTTGAGTGTTTCAAAGGAAAACAGCCCTTCTGTCAAGGAAAAAAGTCTGAGTCCCTTGCGGGGACCTCACCTGTGAGCTGCTGAGAGTCTACAGTGTGGCAGTGAGACGAACTGACCAGCGTGCCCACACGACAGAGACCTCGGCAGACAACTCACTCCTGGTCCAACCCCTCCCCCTGTGGGCTGGATCCATAGGAGTCTTGAAGTGACTTGTCATAAACCAGTTATAAACTAGGCATAAACTAGTTTGTGGGGATCCTGTGACTACTGCACACTAGCTGTTCTTCCCATTACACCAGGATGAACCTTTGGGCCCCACCCACAAAAAGCTCCATGTATTGTGATGAAGGAGGAATAGAAAGAAAGAGATGGATATTAAAATGAAAGCAAAAACAGCAGAGATAAGCGTGGCTTCCACTGAGGCAAAGCCTGAAGGTACTAACAGCTGGAGGCTGTCAGCTAACTACTCCTTATGGCTGAAAGGCAAATTGTTTCTGATGGGCATTCAGAGTGGCAAACCTCCATGGTTACCTGTGCATTAGCAGAAGCACTCATATTTTGAAGGGGTGGTCGGTTAGAAAGGTATGATCTGTAGCAGCTCTACCTTAAAGTAATCTGGAGTTTGGCTAGGTCCTCACTGAGTGTACAGCCTCTCGGCTGAACTCCAGCACTCAGTGCCTTCATCATTGCTCATGAACATCTAATACAACTGCATAAACTATACAATAGGTATCATTGTATTTCAAGCTATTTTAGGAAGGAATGCCTTGTTTGGGATGTTTGACAATGTCCTCTGTTGAACTGGGCACTGATTCCCACTTAGAACAAATAAGAACTAACACATGTACATAAAACGCATCATGCCTCACAGTAAGTAAGAGCCATGTGTTCTTGGCAAAGTACTTCACTGAAATAGCATTTGGACCAACCAGACCTCAAAAAAATTCAACCCAGAACTCAGCAAGAGCCAATTTCCTCACCTAAACCTGGTTGCTTATTCCCAAAATTCCAGATAGGCAATAGCTATCAATAAATCGAGGGAAGGTGGGGGCGTCCCTCTAGGTTAGCAACCCAAACCCAAAAAGATAGTAAAGAAAGATTAGAGGAAGAGAGCAAATAACAAAGGCCAAATATTGCAGAAGGGACAAGCCTCGTGCAGGACTCCTGCTTCAGTCTCCAGCTCCAGCGTGGAAATGAGACAGAGCGGTTTTCCAAGACACACTATGCACCTCAACTACAATCCTAAACTGCCCCGGCGAGGAGGTGGTGATGGGAAATCAGGGAACAAATGCAAGCAGGAGGCTGGGACATAATAAAGCCTCACAGCCACGGCGAGGAAAGATGGGAGAATCAGTCAAGTGTTTTCAGAAGGACCTGTTTTATTTTAGCAAAATCACATTGACAGCCCTGGCCAGTTTGGCTCAGCAGTTAGAGTGTCAGCCTGCGGACCAGAGAGTCCTGGGTTCAGGTCCCGCTAAGGGCACATACCTCGGTTGTAGTTTGTCCCCAGCCCTGGTTGGGATCATGCGGTGGCAACTAGTCGATGTGTCTCTCTCACCTCGATGTTTCTCTCTCTCTTCCCCCCACTTTCTCTCCCACTCTATCTGAAGATAAATGCAAAAATGTCCTCAGATGAGGGGGGGAAATCCCATAGACAGTAAGGATTGGAGCAGGATATGCTAGCAGGCAAGGCAGCCAGTTGTGAAGTTACTGTACTTCAGGTGAGAGATTATTAAGTCAGAACAAGAGAAGATAAGACAGTCTAAAGATCCTAGGGAAGTACAAGAGTTAGGACTTAGAGCAAGAATAACCAAGGGGATTAATAAGAAAAAAGATCCACAGATAAAACCAATCAGCAGATTATAAAGGCTAGACTAACCAGCAATGTGTGTTCAAGTAAAGCCATCAGAAAGGCTACATGGCCAGGATCCGCTTTAAAACATCAGAGGAGCCAGCCCTAACGCCATCCATGCTGATTTTAAAAGTTTAAAATAAACCTAACTGCTCTGAAAGCTCCATTTATTTTTTAAAACATGTTTTTTATTGACTCTAGAGAGAAAGGGGGCGAGGGGGAGAGGAAGAAAAAACAAAAACAAAACATGGATTGGCTGCCCCCCGAATGCACCCCTGACCAGGAATGGAACTGATGACCTTTCGGTGCATGGGACTCCCCTCAACCAACTGAGCCACACAGGCCAGGGCAAGCTCCATTTAATTTTAACTTTATGGTACATAAAATTATGAATATTAGTTTGTTCTTTTCATTCCAGAACACTTAGACCTTCATCTTCTCTATACCAACATGGACTATTTCTGTTTGAAAAAATTTTTTTCTTTCTGTATTCATTCAAAAACTACCTTCTCCACAGTTAACTGTGGTTTCAAGTCTCTCCGCCAGAGACTTCTGGTCCCTGCTAGCACCGACCCACAGGGTCATTCATAGAGCTGTTGTTTGACCAATACACACACAGTACATCTTCAATTCTAAGAATTTCTTAAAATAAAGAACTAAAAATACAAGAGATGTAAATGTAAGAATATACAACATTCTAGAAAATGAGTTACTCAACAAGGACCAATCAAATCTCTTCTAACTTCAAAAAGGATGTTCATGATAAGCTTTGAAGACATTATGCTAAGTGACATAAACCAGGCATAATGGACAAAGTGGTATGTTTCCACTCACATGCGGTACCTAGAATAGTCAAATGAACACAGAAAGTAGAATAGTGGTTACCAAGAGCTGGGAGGAAAAGGGAATAGGGAGTAATTGGTTGATGAGTTTCGGTTTGGGATGATGAACCGTGCTAGAGATGGATAGGGTGGGTTGCACAACAATGTGAATGAATTTAATGCCAATAAACCATACACTTAAAAATGGTAAATTTTCTGTTTTATGCATTTTACCACAATAAAAAGCAAACAAAAAAAGAATGTACAACATTCAAGTATATGCATTTCAACGTAGTTGCAAATGTATAGTGGGGAACATAATTCAGATGTTAGCACAGATGGAACATAATTATGTTGTACTATATGTGCCTAATTGCGAAAAAAGAAGTTAAAATAAATGTGTATCTCTGAAACTTATATACCACTGTAGTTATAGATAAAATTACTTTAAATGAAAGAAAATATTAAGAATTTATAACTGCAATTTTTAAAAAGTAGAAGCCCTAAAAACACATATTTAAAATAGAACTGAAAAGTTTCCAAACATTAAAACAGACTAGTCTTTATAAAGTATAAATGACCACAACATAACTAAATATGCTTAGACAATATATATTATATATATAATTTTGGTTTTCAAACATCTCCCTCAAAGAGTAAATGTGAAAAAGTTTTGTTAGTTATTAATCCACCTTACAGTTGAATATAACTGAGCTAATTTTTTAAAATTTCTCACCTGAGGATATGTTTATTGATTTTGGGTTTTGTTTGTTTGTTTGTTTGTTTGTTTTTTTGAGAGAGAGGTTCTTCCTATGAAATTCTAACACAGGCACTTAAAACCTTAGGTGGCATGATGTCAGTTAGAACATGAATGCTGTAGTCACACACACCCAAGTCCCAAGCTGTGACCTCTGGCAAGTGGCTTAACCTGAGCCTCCTCAGTTTCCACCTCTTAAAAATACGTTGACAGGAGGACCACATGAGGTCACACGTACACAACCTGGCCAGCTTCCCAGAGGCTTGGTTCCCACGTCCTTCTCTTCAACACCTAAGGCTTTCATTCAGCAGCGCCCAGCATGTTGCCACCCTAATACACACCAAAGGGAAACTCGCTTGATACTGACAGTCAGGAAAAAATACCTCAAAATTATTTTTGTTTCTTATAATTTGTCATATTACTCCCTAGGGGCCTACAATCTGACTTGTGACCACATTAAGCTATTGAAACCACAAACATCACCTTCAAATCGGATCTCAGTACTCACTGCTAACACACATAGATGTCTATAGCACTTCGCATATGTTGGGCATTTCTCTTAGCATTTCATGTGTATGAACTCATTTCATTCTCACAATAACCCTATAGAATGGATGAGTACTATTAATGGCCCCATTTTGCAGATGAGGCCATTGAGGCACAGTTGGTAAGAAACAGGATCTGAAGCCAGGCATTCTGGCTCAAGTTTACTATGTCTCAAGACCTCTTCCTTTTGTTCCTTGCTCCTTGTTCCTTTTAAAACCATTTTTGCCAACACTTACACTGTTGGATCTCGTGCGTCTAATGCCTCCCCGTAGGGCTGTCTTCGCTGCCTCTCTCACTCTTACTTCTGAATGCAGACATCTCCTAACGTCGAGGCCACCTGTGTCCTCCTCTGATGCGGCTGGGGAGCTCGGGCACTCTCCTACCGTCACTGTCAGCTTTACACTCATAGTTCACAAGTGTGGATCTCTATCCTTAAACCATCATGCCATCTCTTGGTCTTTTTAAATCACTCCCTTTTCCTCTTCACACATGCCAGTTCCAACCACCTTTATTTCAAAATCTGTCTAGTTGCATTTAGTGCATAACAAAACACCCCAGCATTTAGTGCTGTACAACTTTTTTATTATGTCCGTGGATTCTGCGGGTCAGAAACTCAGACAGGACACAGAGGATATGCCTGGCTTCTACCCCACATCTGGGGCCTCAGTGGGGATGACTAGTCAGCTGCAGGCTGGAATCACCTGGAGGAGTCTTTTTACTCACATGTCTAGTGCTTGATTCTAGCTGTTGGTTGGAACCTCAGCTACAGCAATCAGCCAGAATACCCACATGTGGCATCCCCACAGCAATTGGACTTTTTACATGGCTCAGGGCTCCAAAGTGTCTCACATTCTTAAAACACTTTGCAATTAATCCAATCACACAGTTCTTCCTCACTATAAAGGAAGGAATATATGAAGCATTAGGTGCTTTTTGCATACTTTTTTATTCCTTTTAAGAGAAGAGCCCAGGCAAAGCAGGTATTACCACCCTTTACAAAAAGGGAATGATGACAAGTTTAGAGACATGTCAGTAATTATACAGATAGTTAAGTGACAAGGTCACATTCAAATTCAGGCTCCTTCTATATGCAATAAAGATTACAATGAAACCTAACCTGTGTGGCTCAGCGGATTGAGCATCGCCCCAAGGACTGAGAGGTCCCAGTTTGATTCCTGGTCAGGGCACATACACCGGTTGCAGGCTCAGTCCCCAGTAGGGGGTGTGCAGGAGGCAGCCGATTGATGTTTCTCACATTGATGTTCCCATCTCTCTCTCCATTCCTCTCTCTCTAAAAAGATCAATCAAAACATATTTTTAAAAAGTATTACAATGAAGATGAACCTTGCAAACATATATACACATATAACTCTTTTTCTCTAATTTCAGGGTAAAGGTTTTCAGTAGCCAAATTTTTCTTGCCAGCTCATCATTAGGAAGAGTTGTATTTCTTTCACTCCTGGATTTGAAACAATTTTGTCACCATACTTTTAATTTATCTATTTGAAAATACATGCACATACTTCAAAAATTGAAAATACTTGCTTCTACTTTTGTCTGCCATCTGCTCAGTTCACATTCCTAGTAATATGTAACAGTTCTTAAGGTCAACGTAAATATTTTTGTCCCCCCACCTCACCTTTTTCCTACAAAATATGTATAACTCCTCTACATCACTTAGTCATTCCAAGGGACTAGACATTCAGGTTGCTTCCATTCAAGGCTGCAGTAACTAACCTTGAGCACACATCATTTCATGTATGCAAGTATACATATAAGATAAATTCCCATACGCAGGATTTTCAAGTAGGAAATACACATCGGTATTGGATAGATGTTGCCAAATTATCGTCTATAAAGATAGCTACACTCAACAGAAATATTTGTTTCCCTATAACTCCAATAACTTGATGCAATACCAAATTTATTGACTTTTGCCAGTCTATAAGAGGAAAAGCATGAAGCTTGGGTGGGTCTGTGTGCATTTCTTATTGAGGGTGAGGTCAAGCATCTTTCCATGTGTCTCAGAGTGGTTCATACTTACTTCCCATGATCTGTCTGTCTGTTTACCTGGCTTGCCAATTTTTCAATGGTGTTTCGGGCCTTTCTCTTACACTAATTTCTAGCATCTCTTTTTATCATCCTGTTATCTATGATGAGTGGAACTACTTCTTCCCAGTTTGCCATTTGACTGCATTTGTGTTGCTATTTGACATGTGAAAATTCTTAGTTTTTATAGAGAAAAAGTTACAATCGTGTTCTTTTATGGCTTCTAGATTGAGTCTAAATTAGGTAGATCTTCACTGCAGAGTTAGTATTAAGGAAATTAAAAACCTTGTATAGTTTAAGCTTTATTTTAAATACTTTTAAACTTATCAAATAGTTACAAAAAAAAAAAAAAAAAAGCCTAAAGAGTTCCTGTATACCTGTTTTTATAGAACTCCAGTTAATAAAGTCAGAAAGAATTAAAGAGCCAAAAGTCATTATTTTACAACTTCTAATAAGTACTGAATCTAGGCAATCACCAATGGCTACTAAAACCAGCAGGTGAAAGGCTGGTTAAACTGAAATGGAACAGCAATAGAGTAAGATGAGCTGGCTCGTGACTACCTCCCATTTACCTGCCTTTTCCTTTTGAGAAAAATTTAGCCTTAACTTTCATCCAAGGTTACAGTCTTGCCCCATCCCCAAAGGTCCACCATTCCAGCAAGACAAATGACAATAGTAAGACTTCCTAAGAATGAGCCTTCCTAGCACCTTAGGACATTATCCAACCAAGAGGTTAGTCATGAATGCATCCTTCAGACTGATTTGTGACCAAAAGGTGAAAATATGGATGAAAAGGGGGCCACATACTAAACCTGACAAGCTCAAAGGAGGCCTGTTTGGTGGGCCTTACAAACTCAGAAACTAAGTGCTGGCTGGTTTGGCTCAGTGGTTAGAGCGTCGGCCCATGGACCAGAGAGACCTGGGTTTGGTTCCCACTAAGGGCATGTACCTCATACCTCGGTTGCAGTTTGTCTTCGGCCCTGGTTGGGGTCGTGTGGGTGGCAGCTAGTCGATGTTTCTCTCTCTTCTTCCCTCTTTCCCTCCCAGTCTATCTGAAGATAAATGCAAAAATATCCTTGGATGAGGATAAAAACAAAAACAAAACAAACTCAGAAACGGAAAGCAACCACATAAGATGGTCTGAACATAAATATTGCTAACTAAAAGTGGGTCAAAGTGGGTAACCACATCCTAGGCCTGTAGCTTCCTTGACAAAGTTCAATCTTTTTTTTTTTTTTTTTTTTTTTATCCTCACCCGAGGACATTTTTCCATTTTTTGTAGAGTGGGAGGGAGAGAGAGGAAGGGAGAGAGAGAGAGAGAAACATCGATGTGAAGGGACACATCGAGTGGCTGCCACCCGCACGACCAACCAGGGCCGGGGACAAACTGCAACCGAAGTACGTGCCCTTAGCGGGAACCGAACCCGGGTCTCTGCGGACCGCAGGCCAACGCTCTAACCGCTGAGCCAAACTGGCCAGGGCCAAAGTTCAATCTTTTTTTGTTTGTTTGTTTGTCCTCATCCGAGGACATTATTGCATTTATCTTTAGATAGAGCAGGAGAGAGAGAGGGAAGAAGAGAGAGAGAGAAACATCGATGTGAGAGAGACACATCGAGTGGTTGCCACCCACACCATCCCAGCTGGGTCCAGGAACAAACTGCAACCAAGGTACGTCCCTTAGTGGAACTGAACCCGGGACTCTCTGGTCCATGGGCTGATGCTCTAACCGTTGAGCAAAACTGTCCAGGGCACAAAGGTCAATCTTTACCTAAAGCTAGCATGTCTATTGTCCTTTAGCATCTATGATAACACATCTTTGAAATATCAGAGTAATCTTCCAGACCCACTGCACCAGAGCACAAGACCACAGAACCCCTCACTGGCACCTTGTTCCCAGAATACCATCTCTATGTGCTGTAAATGTTAGTTATTTACTGTCCTGTACTCACCAATGTAAAAGAAGTATATGTCTCCATTTTAATTTTAGTTCAGTTGCAGAGATTTCCCCACTTTGCTTTTCCTTCCCCCTTAATCTACCACCAATGGGTGTCCTGTAACCCTCTTTAGGTCTCGTCCTTTGGTTCTAATGTATAATATAAGCTGCAGAACTGCCATTCTTTGGAGCATTTTCTGTTCGGTGAAATTTTGCTTCCCAGCAACTGTCATCAATTTGGCTCAAATAAACTCATAAAGTCTCAAAAAAAAAAAAAAAAAAAAAAAAAAAAAAAGTTGAGCTGGTCCAAGGTCACCCTGTGGTGCTAGATTCAAAGGATAGCCAGTTTCTAGGAGAGTTGACTGTGTCTCTTCCAGCCCCCCTCCCCCCCAGCCTACAGCCTACAGCCCTGTGGTGAACAGTAACCAAGAGAGTTGAATACACCCATGATAAAGTGCACAATGGGAAGTAAGGGAAAGGTGTACCAGGCACCTTGGAAGAAGAGCTGCAGCGCAGGGAGAACCAACAAATTCCCCGGAACTTAGTATTAATCCACTCAGTAGGAACTGAAAAAAATAGTAATAATCTGGTAAATGTGAAGTACCAACTTATTTTATATTTTACGACACTGAAGTCAACACTATTAATCAAGAATTAATATACAAAGATATAAAGTATCTTGTTTGCAATCATAGAAAAAGGATAGTTTCAAAGAAGTTAGTTTCTATCCAAAACAATCTATGTAGTCATTGGTATATGCTCTCCTCTAAAGAAATAAAAATTAGGATTGTGCAGGATTGTTTTCTCCATTATGCTCTGCTATATTTTCTACAGATTTAAGGTATCCTTCCTTCTCTCTCCCACCCAGGTTGGTGCGAGGCCTCAAACTCCACCATTTCAGCTTTATTTCTTGAAGTTCAGCATCATCCTCAGCATCCTTTCCTCTGTCTTCTCTTTAACCACATACCTCTAAGAAATCTATATTAAATCCTCAAGTGTGGTGCTCACTTTGGCAGCACATATACTAAAATTGGAACAATACAGAGATTAGCATGGCCCCTGCGCAAGGATGACATGCAAATTCGTGAAGCGTTCCATATTTTTAAGAGATAAACCACAGAATTTACATGTATGTATGCATGACCAATGAACATAGACAACAAATCTGGGGGTAGGGTACAGGGAAGGGGAGAAGGGTGTCAATGGGGGAAAAATGAGAAACATCTGTAACAAAAATAAATAAATAAATAAATAAATAAATAAATAAATAAACAAATAATTTAAAAAATAAATAAATAAAATTTTTTTTTTTAAATCCTCAAGTGTGATCCTGTAGGTAGAGGCTTTCAATCTTTTAATCACAACCCACAGTAAGAAATACATTTTACATTTGGGGCCAGTACTCAGCAGAAAAGTCATACCTATAAAACCCACACAGAAGTTCCTCAAAACATCTATCCTTACTGCATGTGATGGACTAATCTTCTCCATTTTAATCCACCCCTTTTTTTAATGCTGGTGACTCAGCTATTAGGTCACAACTCACAGTTTGAAATACTTGGTAGATAAAATACACTGATACATCTCTCTAAGTAGCAACATAAAAAAGTGGCTAAGAGTTCTGCCTTTAGGCTGCCTGGATTCAATCACCAGCGTTATCATGAAGCTGTCAACCTCTCTGCCTCAGTTTCCCTGTCATGGGTATAAAAGAACAGTGTTACCTCAAAATTGAGGATTAACCAAGACTACCCATTATAAAGCACTTAGAGCATAAAAAATATTCAGTTAATGGCCATTAATAATTCTTAAATGGTCCGTGGACTTTTTTATTATGGTAGACTATAAATAAAACAACTCATTTTAACCATTTAAAGGTACAGATCAGCGGTATTGCACCCATCACCACCTCTGTATGTTGTGAACCATCATCACTGTCTAATCCCAGAACATGTAACACCCCAAACGAAAAGTCATACCCGTTCCACCCTCCTCCCCAGGCCCTGGCAATCCCTAATCTGCTTCTGTCTCTGGGTCCACAGATGTTTTAAATAATAAAGTAACACTTGACTAGAGCAGTTTTCTAAGGTAGAATGAAGTGTTCTTTGGAGTCATTAGTCTCATGGCTCATGAGACAAACTTTTGCTAACCATTTCTTAGGAGAACCTTATAAGCCTCTTTAGGCAAATTCTGTAACCTGTCTTGGGGTCAGAAATCCTTCTCTCCTGTGAATTCTGTTAGGGCCAAGAGTCCCAAAGCCTGACCAGTGCAGTGAGGATATGGCTTTTAGTGTCCACAAGAGGCAGAATGAGCCAGCCTCTTCTATGAAGTCGGCTCTTCATTATGTTGTGAAATTTCACCAAATGATAGCATATTCATCAAATAAAGAATGTTTATTCTTCAGTCTTTGTATTTTGAAATTCTGCTTTTGAAGCTCTAAACTTTTACCTTCAAGGGGTGAAAAAGTGAACTTGGACACATTTCTTGGCTTTAGGATGTAGTATCATTTCCTTTTTGGGCCCCACCCCTCTCACACCCTGACTTGCCACCCTTCCTTTGGGGTGTGGAACACTAGGCAAAAATAACTTTGTTCTTCCCAGGATCTATTCAGGGAGTTGCCCTATACTCCATCAGGGAAATAACAGTGGCAGGGAGGTTACCTTGCAAAGGAGCACTGTTATTCTTTGAGCAACTGTTAAGGCAGAAGGCTTCTTAGGCCAAAGAAATAAATGTCACCATGAAGCACCAAAGATGTGAACTACAGAATATCCTTTGGTCCCAGCTGTATAAGTTAGAAGCTTTTTATGTTCTCGTTCTCTCTCTCTCTCTCTCTCTCTCTCTCTCTCTCTCTCTCGAAGACCAACACCACTCACCCAGCTAATAAGCAGCAAAGTCCGCAGTCATTTACCATTCCCTCTCCACCCCGACCCTGCTTTCCCTTGTCCTGGGTGAAAGCCCGCCCTGAGTGATAGCCCAGGGGTCAACCTGCCTTATTTGGAGTGTATGAGGGGAAGGGGGGGGGGCAGGTGATAGAGGGACTCAACTCCATGTCCCAGAGTTCAGCGGACATCCCATCAGTTTATTGCTTTGGGGGAGAATAGAGGGAGAAGGTTTTAAGCAGCAAACTAGCTTCAGAAACCTCACATCTCAAACTCCAGGAAGTCTGTGCCCAGAACTGTACCAAATTCTGCAAGAGTCCTGAGCTAGAATGAATTTGATGTGGACCAAAGAGAATTACAACTTTCCAAAGACTCGGGTGCCTGGCAAATCCGGGAGAGCGCAGGTCCTCCGAGTTTGCGGTGAAGGATGATCACCCCTGGCACTCCAAGCAAACGAAGGCAGGCTTCACCCCAGACCTACCAAAAATGAGACCTCAGGAGCAGGGCCGACCTAGGAAACCATCACTGTCACCATCGCCCAGGTGATCCTTATCGGGGATCCAGCACGTGCCTCAAGCATCCCGCCCTGAGTAACTCAATGACCGCGGTCTCGCCAACCTGAGGGCTGTGTCCTGGGAGCAGGGGACCCCTTGAGGGCGGTCCAGCGGGTCCGCAGGTGGAGAGGCCGCTGCCCCCCAGAGCTCCCGAAAGGTGTCCTACGCAGGGCCCTCGCCTTGGCGGGAGCCCGGCCAGGGCCGTGGGCGGGGTTCGGAAGATGACAGCACTGGGCTCCCCTCTGCCAAGAGTGAGGCAACTCGAGACTTCCCCGGGCCCGCGCGCGCTTCCCACAACCTCCTCGCCGGCACCCGCAGGTCCGAGCGCCCGCGCCCACGCGCCCACGCGCCCGGAGGGCGCACTGACCTGTGATGGTCTCCTGGTAGCCCTTGGTGAAGAACTGCATGGCCGTGGCCGCCCTCCAGGGCGTCTTGAGCAGCCCCTGCCGCTGGGGGTCTTCACCCAGCGAGCGCAGGATGGACGAGTAGGCGGCTGCCAGGTCGGGGAGGTTCAGCTCGTTGTCCTCCTCGCTGCGGGGCCCGTCGACCTTCCAGCCGTCCCCCCGCTGGGCTCTCCTGGTCTCCAGCCGCGGCGACTTCTCGGCGGGCCGGCTCGGCCCGGGCCGCGGCGGCTCCCCCTCCAGGCACCCGTTGCTGCACCTGGGGTCCCGCGGCTTCGCCGGCGCTCGCACCGGGCCCTTCTCCATGGTCCCGCCGCTGCCGCTCGGGAGGGACTTGGGGACGCTTCCGGGGCTGCAACTAAACTTCGCCCGAGGCCGCGGGCAACGGGCTGTGGCCAGAGAAAGAGGAGGAGGGTAGGCGACCGGCCGGTGGCAATGTGACAGAGTCAGCCCCGGGCTCATTTTTATGGGCCAGCGGCTCGGCCGGCACCCCGGGGCGTTCCCATTGGTGGGTGCCACGTCGCGTCACAGCTTCGCCCCGCCCCCGGCCCGCCGCCCGGGAGGGGTCGCGGCGGTGAGAGCCGCGCGCGGAGGGCTCCGAGGGGGGCAGCGGGAGGCCGCGGGTCTGCGCGCTGCGCACCCGGCCCGAGCTCCTGCGGCGCCCGCGCGGGTTGGGCTGGGTCTGCGCGAGTTGCTGCGGGACGAACGGAATCTGAAAGGAGACAGGTGTCTGGAGCTGGAAGCTCGGCGGGGGAGGCACGCTCTAAAGGCCCCGTCAACCCTCTCTTTTTAGGGTAAGGAAGATGCTGCATCAGAAGTGCTCCAGTCCCCTCGCCCTGTGAAAGATGAGCAAACAGGTGGCCTGGGGGGAAGAGACTTGGTTAACCTGTGGATAAGGAAATCACCTCGAATGCTTTTACGGCAAGAGAATAGTATGACTTGAAACTCTTGCGTTCGGTAGTTAAAAATATGTGCAGCGCACCCGCTGCCCAATTTCAGAGGGAGTGTTACACCAAGTGGCCCTTACGTGAGTCTGTATCTAGGAAGATGGGCTTTGACCCTGGAGATCTTTGACCCTGGAGAAATTGATTTGCTGGCAGGTGAAGCCAAGCTCCTTTCCCCTGATGCTGATACAAATTGTGAAACGTTATTATTGGTCAACTGGACTCTTAACCAGTGACATCTGCTTTGACTGTTTTAAGATTTTTAACAGTGACTTTTTTCCTCACTGGAGGGATTATTTCATGATGCCAAAGGTGAGTTTAAAATACGTATCAAATTATCTCCCTGACCGGTTTGGCTCAGCCCGTGGACCAATGAGTCGCGGTTTCGATTCCAGTCAAGGGCAGGTACCTCAGTTGCAGTTGTCCCTGGCCCTGGTCAGGGTCGTACGGAGGCAGCCAGTGAATGTGACCCTCTCACATCCATGTTTCTCTCTCCCTTTCTCTCCTTCTCTCTCCCTCCCACTCTATCTGGAGATAAATAGGAAAATACCCTCAGGTGAGGATTTTTTTTTTTTTAATCAATAAAAACATGTTAGGGAAAAAAAAAAAAGGCTTAGGATCACATGAAAGTAGGAAACAGACTGACAAACCTCAGAGGGATGGGGGCGGAGAGATAAACCAAAGAACTTATCTGCATATATGCACAACCAATGGACACAGACATTAGTTTGGGGAAAGCAGGAGGGGGTGGAAGGGGGAGGAGGGAGTGAATGGGGGAAAAGGGGGAGACATCTGTAAGACTTTAAACAATAAATAAAATAAGCCCTGAAAAAAAAAATCAGACAAACCAGGAGGGAAGTCCCTGGAATTATTCTATACTAATAAAGTTGCTCAGTCATTATAATTAGTATTTATTGAATGTCTGTTCCAGGCATAGCTCTGTTCTAAACATTTAGAAAAGAAATAGAAAATTGGCCCCCTAGGCATCTTTAATCTAAAATAGAAAAAATATTCATGTGAGTGGGCTTTTTAAAGATAGCTATTGAATTTCTATATACATTAAATACCAAATTACATAGATGGAGTCTCTTCGTCACTCCCCTAACATATATATATATATATATTTTTAATTGATTTTAGAGAGAGAGGAAGGGAGAGGGAGTGAGAAATTGAAACATCGATGAGAGAGAACATTGATTGGCCATCTCCTGCATGCCCCCCACTGGTGATTTGGCCCACAACCTGAGCATGTGCCCTGACCAAGAATCAAATTGGCGACCTCTTGGTGCATGGGTCAATGCTGAGCCACACAGGTTGGGCCCTCCCCTAATATTTATTGTAAGTTTTTTCCCCCATTGACAAGGTCTTAGAACATATTTTTCCTTTAACTGTACTGCCCACGGTCCACTGTTTCAAGCTTAGTTAGAGACAACATTAAAGGATGGCCTTATATTTAACAAATGAAAACAAAGATACCAAGTGAGGTACTTTAAAAATGGAGGGATTTGCCCTGGCCAGTTTGGCTCAGCGGTTAGAGCGTCAGCCTGCGGTCCGGAGAGACCCGGGTTCGGTTCCCGCTAAGGGCACGTACTTTGGTTGCAGTTTGTCCCCGGCCTTGGTTGGTCGTGCGGGTGGCAGCCACTCTATGTGTCCCTTCACGTCGATGTTTCTCTCTCTCTCTCCCTTCCTCTCCCTCCCTCCCACTCTATCTGTACAAAAAAATGGAAAAAATATCCTCGGGTGAGGATTAAAAAAAATAAAAATAAAAATAAAAATGGAGGGATTTGATGGAGGCACTTTCATTAACCTGTTAACTGGGGAATTCCCTTTTCACTGTATGCAACGTTTGACGTATTTATACGTCCCGCTCGGTTAACAGGTTAAGGGTTGGGGTGTGTGTGGGTGTGGGTGTGTGTGTCTTTTGCCTTCTTTTAAAAACATTTGTAAACATTAGCTAATATCATATTTCCAAAAAATGACTTCTAATGGAATTTGCCCTAAAAATTAACATTTCTTACAAACACTTCCACTGAGGAATCAGCACATTTGTTGCCAATTATCTATATGAAGTCTCTGGATTTGTTCTAGGACATTTACTTCTAAATGGAGGCAATGCCTTCTAGCTAAATGCCCAAAGGTAGTACAAGGAAGCTTTAAAATTGCCAACATTAATAAACAGTTTGGCAGTGAAATGTAGGGAGTTGGTGGCTATGAGTAGAAATAAGAGAAAAAAGAGGAATACACTAAAATAAAAGGTATGTGTTCCACAGACTTTATTAGCATAAAATGGTTCAACACTAAAGCTGTGAGCATTCACTGCCAAGAATTGTGACAGCATCTATGTTTCTAACAGTGTGTGGCCTGTTTTCACCTTTGACCCAACCTGAGAGTTGCTTTCTACCAAAAAGTCAAGAATTTTTAAAAATTCTTCCATTTCTAGGGTAGTAACAGAACACAGAAACAGGTGAGTGAAATACACAGCACAAAGATTGAACACTGCAGGGCTACAGAGATATGGAGTCACTTGTCAAGGGTAACAGGTAAACTAACATTAGGCATTTGCAATGGTAATTGGAAAAAAGGTAAATTTCTTTAAGTGCACTTGATGGAGGTTCTATATTTGAAATTCAAACTTCGGAGGAGATTCTGGACCAAGCTGCAAAGACACACAAGAAAAGTATTCTTATCCCACTCCTAACTTCCAGAAGCAGGACTGTGGAGTCTATAGAATCCTTGGATGTCTTACTAAGTCCCCCAAATGTAGCAAACTGAATGAAGGCCCTTAACTTTCTTCTCTTCTGGCTGAGGAGAAATGGAAGAATTTTTAGAGAGAAGATGAGAGAATGTGAACACTGAGCTGACTCTCGGAGATGGAAGGGAAGGCTCAAGGGCTCCATGCTGAGTTGAGAAAACTACCCAAAGACACAAGGGAAGAATAGATGTGCCCCAAACAGTCACACATCACTGGTGGAGGATGTCATGTATTACCTCAGAAGAATGAGAGGATGCTGACAGGTGCTAATGGAGAGTATACTTTTCCACAGCTGAATGCTATCCCAGCCATCACAATTTCTCACAGAAAAAGCAATAGAAACTCCTCAAGCCGCAAACTGTAGCAGAGTCAGGAAAACAAACGGGTGTCCGCTACAATGGGAAACACAAAGAAGTCACCCTCAGTAATATCAGGCGTGGACAGAAGGCAGAGAAACAATCTAGCAACTGTGCAAACATACAACGTCCAAACTAAGCTAAACTAAGGGGGAAATAATACATCATGTAGAAAATGTAAAGACAAAGAATGCAACTGAGAAGAAACCAGAGTTCATGGAACCAAAGAAAATTCCTCACAAATGCTTTCTGCTACAGAGCAACTTAATAAAAACATGAATTCAATAAGGCAAAAAGCAAGATACTAAAATAATAGAACTTCAAGAGGAGTTGGCGATCTAAGGAAATAAATTGAGGGTCCTTATTAGTATCAAATTAATTAGAACCATGTATAAAATAGACACTGTTGAAAATCCAATTACGGACATGAAGTAAAGCACAAGAATGAATGTACAATAAAAGGAAGGTGAGAGCTGTTAGAGAAGAGGAAGATGATCTAGCATAAGAATAATTAGGGTTCCTGAGGCAGAGAACTCAACAAGTGAGAGGATGTATTCAAGATAAAATGTAAGCATATTTCTCTACCAGAAATGAGCCTCTATATTTATGTTCAATTGCTTTACAACAAGGTGCCAAGACAATTCAATGGGATAAAGAAAACTCTTTTCAACAAATGGGACTAGGACTGGATCCCTACATGCAAAAGAAAGAAGCTGGATCTCTATCTCACACCACATACAAAAATGAACTCAAATAGATCCAAGACCTAAATGTAAGAGCAAAAATTAAAAGCTTCAGAAGAAAACATAGGCATAAGTCTTCATGACTTTGGATTAGGCAAATAGATTTCTTAGAATAACACCAAAAATGGAAGCAACAAAAGAAAAAAAGAGCCCTGACCAGTTTGGCTCAGCAGTTAGCGCGTCGGCCTGCGGTCCAGAGAGACCCGGGTTCGGTTCCCGCTAAGGGCACGTACCTCGGTTGCAGTTTGTCCTCGGCCCTGCTTGGGTTGTGTGGGTGGCAGCCACTCGATGTGTCCCTTTCACTTGATGTTTCTCTCTCTTCTTCTCTCTCCCTCCTGCTCTGTCCAAACAAAAAATGAAAAAAATGTCCTCGGGTAAGGATAAAAAAAAAAGGCATTTCATCAATAATATTGAGATGTGAAAAAAATAATTAAAAAAAAAAAGAAAAAGAGAAATTAGACTTCACCAAAATTAAAAACTTTTATGCTTCAAAGGATGCTATCAAAAAAAGAGAAAAGACAACCCACAGAATGGGAGAAAATATTTGCAAATCCTGTATCTGATATGGATTAGTATCTAGAATATAAAAAGAACCCTTACATCTAAATAATAAATAGACTGACAGTAAGTGGAGCAAGGCTTGGGAGCGGGGGCACACAGGGGCCTCAGGGCCAGGCGGCCCCACGCGGACAAGGCCAGCAGCAGAGCACTGGACCTTCCCAGCCCTGCGCATTCCAGCCGCCTCCGCAACCAGTCATCGCGGACAAGCGACCCCCACCCCATGCCCGGAAACCAGATTCCTGAGTCCTAAATTCATTCCTCCAGGAGGAAGAACAAATCCTCTGAAATTTCAAATAGGAAGAAATGTTAAGAAGTAAGAAAAGTACTCCACATTCTAGAGTTTATGTTGGAAGTATTCTTCACGTTACTACGGCTGACCCAGGTGCCAATGGGGAAAAACCGCCAGTTCCTGGGGATTTGCATCCAGAGATCAGAAGCAGGACTGGGAGCTACTTTTATCCTTGGGAATACTATTGAAGGACAGAGTGCTGAGATTTGCTTAGAACGTTATAATTCTAGAATCCAGGAGATCCAGATGGTCAAATTAAAGAAATGACTGGATGACAGCTTGCTATTCTTATGAGATGCTCTTCCTGAATACAGAATTTTTTACATTAATATGAAGCCGATAGTACAAGAATCTAGCCAAGAAGTTCTGTTAATCAGCCTAAAGTCAAAATGAAGCCTAAGCCCTGGTCCAAACACTGGGAGCATCCGAAGTTTAATATTAAAGGAATCAGATTTGATCTTTATTTAACTGAAGAACAAATGAAAGAAGCTCAGAAGTGGAGTCAGCCATGAGTTTGATGCGATGAGGGAATATGATATTTGAAAAATTGAAGTTGCAATATGGGATGAAACTGAAGCATTGAAAAGTCCTGATCTGAAAATGAATTTAGCTACTTGCAGAGGATATACTGACTCTCAGAGGATTTTTTCAGAGACCAGTTTAATTTCATATATAAAGACATTGTCATTAAATCAACCAAGCATTCATTATTCTATGAGTGCTGTGTTTTTTTTTTAAAGCACATCAGTTTATTACTTTAAATAGAGAAATATATAAAATAAATAAATAAGAAATTGACTAATAATCTAATTATAAAATGGACAAAGGATTTGAATAGACATTTCTCTAAATAGCTTTGGCCAGCCCTGGCCGGTTTGGCTCAGCGGTTAGAGTGTTGGCCTGCGGTCCAGAGAGACCCGGGTTTGGTTCCCGCTAAGGCCATGTACCTTGGTTGCAGTTTGTGTCCCCGGCCCTGGTTGGGTTGTGTGGGTGATAGGCACTCGATATGTCCATGTTTCTCTCTTTCTCGCTCTCTCTCTCTCCCTCTCTCCTTTTCTCCCTCCCTCCCACACTATCTGAACAAAAAATGGAAAAATGTCCTTGGGTGAGGATAAAAATAAATAAATAAATAAATAAATAAATAAATAAATAAATAGTTAGCTAGCCCTGGCCGGTTTGGCTCAGCGGTTAGGGCATCAGCCCGCGGTCCAGAGAGACCCGGGTTCGGTTCCCAAGGGCACATACCTGGGTTGCAGTTTGTCCCCAGGCCCTGTTGGGGGTCATGTGGGTGGCAGCCAGTCAATGTGTCTCTCTCACATTGATGTTTTTCTCTCTCTCTTCCTCTCTCCCTCTCACTCTATCTGAAGATGAATGCAAAAATGTCCTTGGGTGAAGATAAAAAAAAAAAAAAAAAAAGGAAATATACACATGGCCAATAATCACATGCAAAGATGCTCAACATCATTAGCCATCAGGGAAATGTAAATCAGGGTGTGAGTGAATGCTACCTTATATGCACTAGGATGGCTATATTTAAAAAGATAGATGATAAGTGTTTCTGAAAATGTGAAGAAATCAGAACACTAACACACTGGCAGGAGTATAAAATGATACAGCTGCTTTAGAAACAGTCTGGCAGTTCCTTAAAAGGGTATCTATAGAGTTCCCATATGACCCAGCAACTCCAAAGCAGGTATACACCCAAGAGTAATGAAACCTTATGTCCACCCAAAAACTTGTACATGAATGTTCATAGCTCCATTATTTATAATAACCAAAAAGTGGAAACAACCCAAATGTCCAAAAACTGATGTGTGGATAAACAAGGTGTGATACATACATATACTGGGATATTATTCAGCTATAAAAATGAAGCACTAATATATCCTATAACATGGATGAACCTTGAAAACATCATACTAAGTGAAAAAGGTCAAATGCAAAAGTGTGCGTGCATGCGCGTGTGTGTATTGCGTGATTCTATCTATGAAATGCCAGAAGAAGCAAATGCATAGAGACAGAAAGTAGATTTGTGGTTGCCAGGGCCTGGGGAGAATGGGGAATATGGAGTGACCACTAACAGGAATGGGTTTCTTTTTGGGGTGATTAAAATGTCTGGAATTAGTTAGTGGTGATGCTTGAACAACTTTGTGGGTATACTAAAAGCCACTTTAACCAATGCCACCCCAATAAATGTCATTAAAAAACATATCAACCACTAAACTGCATACTTTAAAGGAATGAATTTTGTGGTATATGAATTATATCTTAATAAAAACGAATATCTTAAAAAGTAAAAATACAGTTTGCAAAATATATATATAATTTTCTAGAACCATATGTTGTAGAAAAATTTGAGACAGAATGCATAACACCAAGCTGGATGAACTCCAAGGATAAAGGCGGCTTCAAGGATAGTTTTGCAAGCACGCAAGCAACAAATTGCCTAAAGGGGTGGCAGTGAGGGCATAGCCTCCAGTTTTTCCACAGCAACATCTATTGCCAAAAGGGAGTGGGGCGGGGCGCGGTGGACAACATTATTGCTTTAAGGAAACTAAGTAATACCCACTAAAGAAAGCTTTCAAGTATAAGGACACACCATCTCAAACATGAATAAACTTAGAAAACCCAATTCCTATAAGTCCTTATTGAAAAAACCACTTGACATGAAAGCCTGCTAATTAAGAGATAATAAAAATAGAGATTTAAGAATGAAGAAGTTATGGTAAATACTTAAATATAAAACTAATTTCAAATATTTAAATATAAAAATACTAAGTACAAAGCCAATACTAAATAACTTTCAGAATTATTGTCACAGAGCAGATCATGAACATTATTAACCTGGACAATATAAGAATAATAATATAATTATGTAGGATATCTGTAATACCTTCAACAATAAAAATAAATTTAAAAAAGAATAATAATACAATTAAGTGAAACAAAGAACTGGGGAGAGGGAGATGGGTATAGTCTTTATCTTTCCTAAAAAGGCGTCAATAATATTTAAACTGAAACATAGTAGTAAAAAAATCAAACAACTCAAACCTTTTCATGGTTTTTGTAATTGCTTTTTAAACTTTATTTATTTTATTACTTTTAGAGAGAGAGAGAGGTCAATTATTTTTTAAAGGTAACATTTAAAATAGCTTTTATAAGGATTTGTTGTAACATATGTAATGACTGTTCCCTCTACAGAATCTTGATCACAGAGTTTATGACAGACACCTAGTCAGCAGTAGCACCCAGGTTTTCCCAGTTGTCAGTCGTCATTTTTCTCTTGCCTGCATAGACTTCTCACTAGCTGCTTTCTGTGTTTGTTGCATGATCTCAGAGTCCCTCTGTTTTCTCTGAGAGGCAGTCAAGCTATCCTCTTTTCTTTTTCCCTTGCTAATTTCCTGGAATTTCTTCATGTTTCTAGGGCCGGCAAGTTCTGGTTGATTTCCATAGGCCATGCCGACTACCAGACTGAGCCTGGAAGAGAGTGACTCGGAAAAACAAAGGCTTCCTTGAATGCTCAGCAGATGTTGATTTGTTGTTTCTCTTACTGATGCACTCATTGGTTGCTCCTTGTATGTGCCCTGACCAGGGGTCAAACCCACAACTTTGGTGTATCAGGGTGATGCTCTAACCAACTGACCTAACCGCCGGCCAGGGCTGCTTTTTTGTTAACTTTAGAGGGATTGTTGTGTGTGTGTGTGTGTGTGTGTGTGTGTGTGTGTTACTGGTGGTGGAAAAAAGCAAATTCTTTCTTGTTGTTCTTAATCTTCACTCGAGGATATTTTTCCATTGATTTTTAGATAGAGTGGGGGAGGGAGGAGAAACATCCATATGAGAGAGACACATCGACTGGTTGCCTCCCACACGACCTTGACAGGGGCTGAGGATTGGCCTGCAACCCAGGTATGTGTCCTTGACTGGGAATGGAACCCATGACCCTTTGGCCTTCAGGCCGACGCTCTAACCTCTGAGCCAAACTGGCCAGGGTGAAAAATGCAAATTCTTATTGTGATGCTTAATTTTATGTGTCAACTTGACTGGGCAGAGGAATGCCCAGATGGCTGGTAAAACATGATTTTGGGGTGTGTCTCTGAAAATGTTTCTGGAAGAGATTGGCATTTGAATTGGTGAACTGAGTAAAGATCATTGCCCTCCCCCATGTAGGTGGGCATCATCCAAGCCACTGAGGGCCTGAATAGAACAAAGAGGTGGAGGAAAGACACTTTCCCTTTCTGTTCATCCACCTTCTCCTGCCCTCTGACGTTGGTTATCCAACTCCTGATTCTCAGGCTTTCTGACTCAAATCAGGACTTACACCCTCAACCCCACCCCACTCCCCACTCCCTTCTCAGGCCTTTGGACTCAGAGTGAACTACACCATTTCTTTTCCGGTCCTCCAGTTTGCAGGTACCAGATGGTGGGACTCCTCAGCCTCTATAACCATGTGAGCTGATTTCTATAATAAATCTCCCCTTATATATCGATATAAAGTCAGCCCTCTGTGTCCACAGGTTCCTTATCTGAGGACTCAACCAACTGCAGATTGAAAATACTCAGAAACAAAGAAGATCATGTTGCCGAAGTGCCCAGTGTAGTTAGGCCAACATGGTTGCATCTGTACTGAACATGTACTGACCTTCTTATCTTGTCATTCGTTATTCCCTAAGCAATACGGTATAACAACTAATTATATAGCATTTACATTATTTTAGGTGTTATAAGTAATCTAGAGGTGATTTAAATGATATAAGAGGATGTGTGTAAGTTACATGCAAATACTGTGCCCTTTTATACAGGGGACTTGAGCATCCTGGAACCTGTCACCTGAGTACACCGAGGGACAACTGTATATCTATTGGTTCTGTTTCTCTGGGGAACCCTGACTAATACAGATTTTTCCAAATTGATCCTTTAGATTTGCTTCAGATCTTTTTTTTAATTCTATTAAATTTAAATAAAATGAATGTGTTTCTATTAAAAATAGCATTTCTGAGGATGGAACCTGCTGGGTATCGAACCTGCAACCCAGATGAAGAAACTGGAGTGTAAAGAGGTGAAGTAACTCACGTAAGATCTCATAACCAGCAAGTGGTGGAGCCAGGATTGGAAACTAGGCAGCTTGTATCTCATCCTCGTAACAACCAGATTGGAGTTCTCGAGGCTCAGTGAGAGTATGGAATTTATCCAATACGGCTTCTTAGATTGACAAGATCTACCCTGAACCAGGGAGGCCCTACACCAGGATGGACCAAAAGGTTTCCCAGTTTCTTAATGCAAAGTGCAAGCAGGCATTCCTTTCCAAGATCAACCCTTGGCAGATGAGGCGGACTGTCCTCTACAGAAGAACGCACAGAAAAGGCACAGCCCGAATGCATGCACAAGAAAAGAACCCACAGTCGAATTCCCAACGGCCACCACCGGTGCCACCACCGGTGCCGACAGAGTGACCGAAAGGCATCAGACAGTCTTGAGGAAAGGTGAACATAGAGAATATATCCAATGGAGTCGCTTTAACCAAGCTACCAAAATTATTAACACCATGAAAGTTGAGGCACGAGGAAAGACTCCTTTCTTGCTGAAACTTGCCTGGAGACATAAACCTCTTTGAACTTTCCTGTCCTGCGTCAATGCCTGGATATGCATCTGGACCTCCAGATAACCCTCCAATTATCCCCTGAAGGACTCGGTGTGCAGGACACCTGATTACTTCCTGAAGGACTCACATTTTCATCCACCTGACATCCATTATCCAGACCACAGGGCATGACAAGACCTCCTGGTGCTCATCTTCCAGAGCACCTGGCATCCATCAGCCTGACTGCCTGACATCTGATTGGTCGCATCCTGGACCAACCCCAGGGCTAAGAATGTAGGACTGATATGATTCTAAAAATATGCATTTTGCAGTAAGAACTTCTAACGTTTCTTTCTTCTTTGGAACACTTTTAGGTTTTAGCCTAGTTGTATTTCAGTTTGCAAACTCTAAGACCCTTGAATAAATCTTATTTGTAGGAAAATAATAATAATAATAATAATAATAACAACAACAGCATTTCTGCCCCTGGCCAGTTTGGCTCAGTGGTTAGAACGTCAGCCCGCAGACCAGAGAGGCCCGGGTTCGGTTCTCACTAAGGGCACGTACCTCAGTTGCAGTTTGTCCCCAGCCCCGGTTGGGGTCATGTGGGTGGCAGCCACTCGATGTGTCTCTCTCACATTGATGTTTCTCGCTCTCTCTTTTCCTCCCTCTCTCCCTCCCACTCTTTCTCAAGATAAATGCAAAAAGAAAAGTCCTTGGGTGAAGTTAAAAAAACATAGCATTCTGGTTATGATGCCATTTGGCAAAGAATTTCAACCGACCTTTAGTGAAGAAAAGGAATTTCATATAGAAAGCCACTGCATAGTATTCATAGTTACCAGTCCAATAAACTGTACATGGTTCTCAGTCTACAAGGTTGGCTCAGTTATAAATCCCATTAAAGCTCCCAGTGCAGAATAAGCCTCATGGAACCCCAGCTGAAGATTGAACGCTGGTGGCCAGAGTCTACCGTCAGGTACATGCCACATTGGGAAGGCTGTGTTAGCCATGTTTGTTCTCTGGATGTGCTACATGTTAATAATAGCACAGGAAATATGATTACAGAGGGCAAAATCCAGGTTCCTGTTTCCAGGTTAGATATAAAATATTTTTTAAAAGTCAGGCAGAAAATGCTATCACCCCCCCTAAGGTGATGGGGTTTGGAAGTGGGGCTGTGGTCCAGGGATCCCTTCCTTCCATTGCTGCCCTGGCTCAGGGCCACCCGAACACCCACTGTAAAGAGCAGCAAGCCTCTAAAACAACAATGAGGTAACACCTCACACCTGTCGGAATGGCCGCCATCAACAAATCATCAAACAAGTGTTGGCGAGGGTGTGGAGAAAAGGAGACTCTAGTACACTGCTGGTGGGAATGCAGACTGGTGCAGCCACTATGGAAAACACTATGGTGTTACCTCAAAAAATTAAAAATTAAACTTTCATTTGACCCAGTGATTCCACTTCTAGGAATATACCCTAAGAAGCCTGAAACACCAATCAGAAAGAATATATGTACCCCCATCTTTGTAGCAGCACTATTTACAATAGCTAAGATCTGGAAACAGCCCAAATGTCCATCAGTAGACAAATGGATAAAAAAGCTGTGGTACATATACACAATGGAGTACTATGCAGCTGTAAGAAAGAAAGATCTCTTATCTTTTGAGATGACATGAACAGACCTGGAAAGTATTATCCTAAGCAAAAAAGCCAAACAGAGAAAGACAGGTATCATATGATCTCACTTATTTGTGGAATATAATGAACATAACAGTCTGAGGGATAAGGTAGTTCCAAAGATGTGGAAGTGGGGGACTGACAATCCCCAGAGGAGGGGGTGGTGGGGGAAAGATAAACCACAGAACTTATATGCATGTGTGCATAAACAATGGACTTGGACAACAAAGCTGGGAACAGGGCGAGGAGGGAGGAAGAGGGGGGAATCGGGGAGGGGGGGTGGAGAAACATCTGTAACAAAAATAAATTAATTAATAAAAAATAAATAAATTATATATATATATATAGAGAGAGAGAGAGAGAGAGAGAGCGGCAAGCCTCTGCCAGCCATGTTTCAGCTAACCTTGTCCCTGTCAGTGGGCACAGATGAAAGACCTCCTGGAGACAATTTCCCCTTTTCGATACTGAATCTAAAATCAGATGTGAACCTGTAACCTGCAAGTGCATTGCGTAATGGGCCTGCCATTATGGGATGGAGGGCACAGTGCCTGGCAAGGGTCAGCAGAGCTTTGTGGGTTAACACATGGACTCTGCAGACCTACTATCTTGGTTCAAACCTGGTTCCATCTGATACAAAGTCTGTGATTTGGGGCCTATCACTGAACTTTCACATTCATTTTTTGCTGTAAAATGAGGACCATAATTGTGTCTACTTCGTGTGATTGATGTGAGAATCAAATGAAATGATTTGCATTATCAGTGCAAATTCTTTCAAATAAAGGAAATCTGCACTGTTAAAAAATAAAATAAAATAAATCAGATGTGAACCTGGAGGTTGAGAATCCAAGCCAAGGAGGAGGACTTTAGCTTCACGCAATTGTTCAAATGCTTTCGTTTTGAGCTGATTCTCTCAAGGATTTCAGTCAAGTCCTGAGTCAGCTGTGTGTTTAGGGGACCCTTTCAGTCCATAACCCACAGTGTGCAAAATATTTTGGGTTTTAGAGACTAACAAAAATTAAGTGTATAACCTGCTGTGACAGAGTTAACAAACTTCAGAGAGGGGTTCCATTGTCATGCAGGAGGATGGGCTTCATCCTCCTGCATGACAATGACATCAAAAGCAGATGTCATTTCTTCATTCACTCAACACATATTTAGTGAAACCTGCCTCGAGGCAGGCTCCATGCCAGGCACAGGGAATGCA